GTGTTTGAAAAATTGCCATGCAAATACTTTGTGACATAAAAAATTAAAAAACCCACCATTTTATTCTCCAAGGTATTTGCTAAGGAGCATGGTGAGTATTTTGATGACACAAATGATATTTGTAAAATATTCACCGTGCCTCTTTTCAAATTCCTTGGGTTCTCTACTTTCCAAAAGAGGGGTTTTCTGGGGGGAGTATTTGTACTATCATGGCATTTTAGGACCTCCAAAACTGTGACAGGTAGTGAAGAAATGATATAAGGAAATATGCCCTTGGAGAGCCTGAAAGTGGTCATTGGATTTTGGGGTATATGTATGTATGTAGATAGGCTGCCAAAAAGTCTCTCACATGTGGTATCCCCATACTCGGGAGAAGTAGCAGAGTGTGTTTTGCCATGTTACATATAGCCATGGCATACATGAGCAATATATCATTTAAGTGACATATTTGTGTAAAAAAATAAAATTGTCATTTTCCAAAAAATTGTGGCAAAAAATAAAATCTTCCATGAACTCAACATGTCTCTCAGCATATTCCTTGGAGTGTCTACTTTCCAAAAAGTAGTCGCTTGGGGGTTTTTTTGTACTGTCCTGGCATTTTAGCACCTCAGGAAGTGTGATAGGCAGTCAGAAAGCAAAAGCTGCATAAATTGAAGTATATATACCATAGTTTGTAGATGCTATAACTTTCACACAAACCAATTAATATACATGTACTGGGATTTTTTTTTTTTTTACCAAAGAAATGTAGCAGAATACATTTTGGCCTTTATGACTAACTTTGAGTTTATTGGATATTTTTTTTAAACTAAAAGTAGAACATATCTTTTTATTTAAAAATTTTTCATTTATATCACAAAAAATAAAAAACCCAGTGGTGATCAAATACCACCAAAAGAAAGCTCTATTTCTATGAAAAAAAAGACATACATTTAATTTGGGTACAACGTTGTATGATCGTGCAAATTACCAGTTGAAATAGCGCAGTGCTGAATAGCCTGGTCAAAAAATGGCATGGTCCGGACAGGGAGTAAATCTTCCAGAGGGCAATTGGTTAAAGGTATAGTCCAGATTTTTGCAAAAATGTAAGTGCACAGACTCCTGCAAAGTTTACATCCCAGTCCCAGGTCCGCACAGATCTATAGGTGTTGCGTTATGGTGAAGAATAAGTAATGAATGGACTACAAGTGCAGTGACGTCACAGCGCCTGGGAGTTCCTGTGCTGCGGTAGCAGATAGAACTTGTAGTCTTTCTGTTTGCAGATCCCTGTGAATGGATCTGTGCATGGCTGTGAGGGCAAAGACACATACTGCCGTGCTAAATTAAAAAATCAATATGATGCTCCAGGGAGAAGCACCCTGCAATTAAGGTAAGTATGGGTGGGTGGGGGGGGGGATTTTGGGTTGGGGGATGTGACCATGTTTTATGACAAAAAGAATATACTGATTGGCATTGGAGAGGTGTTAATTATAGTGTGAGTCCATGTATTAGTCCATATAAAAGACTACATGAAAGTCCAAGAAAGAACACAATAAGCAGCAGCAGCACCCTTAAAGCAAAGCTGAGACTCTGTAAGTAGAAGGAAACAGAGGGGCGCCAGACTAAGTGCAGCATTAACAGTGGAGCAGGAAACATCCCAATGCGACCGACCACTATATTAACCAGCGTGGAACACAAGATGGCACTGGACCGGACGTGGTGTCAGCAAGGTGCGTGATGACGTAAATGGGCTGTAACTCGTTTCGAAGCTTCCGCTTCTTCTTCAGACCTGATTGGTCAACAGGAATGGCCATCTTAAATATGGGGATGAGTGGAGGAATACGGGGACAGAAGGTGTGGCCATACTTAACGGAGACATTATTCAATAATGAACTGAATATATCACATAGTATGCCATAGATATATATAAAGAGAATTAAGAGAATTACAATTACATCAAATTAAGAAAAAACAACCGGGAAGCAACAATAGCATATACATGTTCTCTGCACATACTGTATGCTAGTTCATATATAAAAATATTTATTAATTAGGGCACCTACTTATAGGTGCAATTAAAACCTTTGTAGAATTAAACATCAGAAATATAAACAACATTAAACCTGCATAAGATAAGTGAATACATAAAATAAAAATAATAAGAAATTGAATTAAAATGAAAAAGGTGTTTCATTATAAGTGTACAAACAGACATATGGTCATACGGGATCTCATTTTGTAATTAACGCATGCATGTAGTATGTATTAATTATCATATTTAGAGTTGTATTAATTCATTATATATACAGAATAATTTAAAGCATAAATACATGAGCCGGAACACATAGATACTGTATATGCGTGTATGTACACACACATTTATAAAATGTGTTCCCTTATTTAACGTTACTTACCCACACAGATGAGATGGAGGTGGGAGAATATGGTGTATCGGAAACTAAAATGTGTGAAGCAGTGGTAAGTAAAAGGGAAAACAATGCAAAATTATCTATATTTATAAATAGTGTTATATCTACACTTATGTATATGTATATATGTGCATATACGCATGTATGGTATGTATATACTTGACCCAGATAAAATGGGTAAAAAAGTTAAACCAAAGGTTGGGATTCTTTACTGAAGACTTAGATGATAGTATGGATCTCCATTTCTTCATTGAGACCTTTAGGGGTCAGGGTATCCAAGGTAAAAATCCAGTATGTTTCTTGTGGGTAGAGCTGACGGAAACACTCAGCCTGAGGGAGACTATCAGGTATGGACTCAATAATCCAAACATCATTTTGAATGATATTCGGAAAAATGACGTGGTACACTGTGTTTGGTAATACCTCTCTTCCATGAGCCTACGATGTTCACCATAGTCTCGATGGTGAACATCGTAGGCTCGTGGAAGAGGGTATGTTTTTAATAAACTCCACTATTAATGTTGCACTTAGTTTGGCGCCCCTCTGTTCCCTTGACCATGTTTAATGTTACACCCTTAATTGGTGTAACATCAAGCATGGTTGAAAAAGTGAACCATGCCCTTAAATCAGATGCTTGAGGATAATGAAGATAAACTGATTCACTCCATAACAGTTCTTGTATAGGGCTATTGTTTGCAGTTAGGTTGACTTTCTTTTCCATAGAATTCAATCTGAAGTAGCTCAGCGCAACTTAGAAGCATGTTGAAACAATTACTTCAGCAACACATTTTGTGAATTGGTTGAGGAGCATTTGAATGACATGTCTTTGCTGCATTCACAGAACATGATGCATTGAGGGGTTGTAGTAAGATGAGTTTAAATTTTTGTAAGCTTTTATTTCTGTCTGTGACCCTCAGTGGGAACATTTTTCATTGCTTCCTGCATCCCAGTGATGCTCAGACTAGCAATAGGGAGTGTGATCATCACTAGATAAACACAGGTAGCAGTAAAATCATTTTCAGGAGCTCTGATATTTTCCTACTTTATTAAATGTGTGGTATTTTGTAGGTGTTTTTTTTCTGTGCAGTTATTGGAGATATTTCCTGGCAAGAAGACGGGAACTCTCCCTAATAAACACACAAAAAAAGTGCATGCACTGTTTGAATAAAGATTTAAGGTTTTCCTGTTCGAATACAGTATGTATATAATTTCCATGGTACATACATGGGGAGCTTACTTTTCACATGACTGTACCTATGGCTCCATGAATGACTGACAACTCCAAAATTGGGCAGCAAAGTGGCTAAATGGTTAGCACTTAGACCTGGCAGTACTAGGTTCATTGGTTCAAATCCCAACCACAGCACCACCTGCCTGGAGTTTGTATGTGCTCCCTGTGCCTGTGTGGGTTTCCTCGCACAATCCAAAGACATGCTCGTAGGTTAATAGGATCCTGTCTAAATTGGCCTTGGTATGTGTATGTATGAATGTAAGTTAGGGATTGTGATTGTATGCCCCTTGAGAGTTAGGGACTGATGTGAATGTACAGTATATATGTAAAGCGCTGCATAAATTGACAGCACTATATAAGTACCTGTAATAAATAAAAAAAATTAATTGTATGTGCCGACTAGACCAGTCATCTAGAGTTGCCCAGATTTCCTCCCAAGTGCATTTCTGCTCACCTGCCAGCTTTTTTCATCCACAATTTTTACAAAATTATTTTTAATTTTCCAAATCACAAGGTTGGATATTTTGTACTTTTGTAAAATTTGGAATTAGGGGTGGATTCTTCATTCTCTAATAGCAGTCAGTCTGCTAAAATCAGAACTCACGTTCCTTAAACTCACTGAAATAGTATATGTTATAGAGATATAAATATGTAATAAAAATATGTATGGATCTTTTCGACTAGCTTGAAATCCCGAATGCAAAAACAATACCTTCCAAATGATTTAAAAAGTGTTCTACCATAATATCGTGACATCAAGCAATGCTTTATTTGTTTAAAAAATGGTGTTAGCTTGAATATATTGTTTTCACCTATGACCCCTGGATCAGTTGCAAATATGCAACAGGTCAATGAAAGTAAATTGTGTGCACAAATAAGACAAAAGACCTATACATATCCTATAGTTAACAGAAAACAGTCAGCATCATTAACTTTCTGCAACATCAGCAGAAAGTGGTATATAATAGAGTTGTTACTCCATCCCTGAAACAGTTCACAGTTCACAGCTCACAGCTCCTGGGTCACATCTCCAGTCAAAATGGTTAAGGTAGGCTACTTTTCTATTTGTAAGGCAGAATAGAGGCTGATGTTTGTACTGTAAAGAAAGAAAATGATCTATTTCTAAGAATTTTCTGCACATAGCTAGATGACATATTATGGTGCATTTTAAGTATATTTTAAGCAGTAATTTAAAGCAGTCAGAATTCTAGAACTAATAATAGGCATGTTGTATGCAAGGTATACACAAAATAATACTGTATATAACACATTCATGAGTTCTGAAAAGTGTTTTAAAATACATGTCATTGTCTGTCTATAGATCGTTTTCTATGAGGATAGAAACTTCCAGGGTCGTTCCTATGAGTGCAACTCTGATTCCTCTGACTTGTCTTCATACTTCAGTCGTTGTAAACTCCATCCGAGTAGAGAATGGAAACTGGATCCTGTATGAACATCCCAACTACAGAGGACACCAGTATTTTTTGAGGAAGGGAGAGTATCCTGACTTCCAGCAATGGATGGGATACAATGACTCTATCAGATCCTGCCGTCTGACCCCACAGGTGTATTTTACTTTATTTTTAGAATACATGCAGTAATATTTTGAAATGTGAATTAAATCTTGTAATAGTTTGTTTCATTTACTTCCCCAACTATAGCAGCAGCAGTTGACTTAATATGTTTTACTGAATACATTTTATTGAATACTTGTTATTTAATACAGCACCGTGGACCCTTCAGATTAAGTGTCTATGAAAGAGAAGACTTCAAAGGACAGATGATGGAGTTTACTGAAGATTGTCCTCATGTTTATGAGCAGTTTCGCTACAATGATATCCACTCCTGCCATGTACATGATGGATACTGGATGTTCTATGAGGAGCCCAACTACAGAGGACGTCAGTATTACCTGAGACCTGGAGAGTACAGGAGATTCACTGACTGGGGAGCTTCTAACTCTAGAATTGGTTCTTTTAGACGTGTCCAGCATCAGTATTAAATATAAAATACACATTTATCACCATCTAAACTTTAATAAAACTTTAATGTAAACTTTTCTCTGTGTTTGCATAATTTTTTTATATTATAAGAACATGAAAAGGGACAGCAGTGATCTAGTTTATGCTCTTAGTGCAGCCATTACTGACTGAATGCTATAATAATTAGTCACGTTCATAAATACCCTTTTTAACAATATAATCTGTTGATCTAAAAAAAAAATCTTTATTCCCTATGATGTGTTTATGGTTGTCAATGGCTGCTTAGAATAACTTACTATCCTGGGAGTACAGTAGATGATATCTTTAAGTGAGCAAAATCATTTGGCAATATTAGTGACTTGCTCACTACCCACTGGTTTATGTATGTTTCAAAAGTACTTTTACACTTCTGTTCCAGGAAATCACCTGGCAATGTCAGTGTAGGTAGATTATCTGAGTTTCAAAAGCAAATATAGCACCATCATCATTAAATTAATCACTTTGTGGGGTAAATAAAGAAAAACTTTCCTGGTTCTGTCGTTCAGTTTTTCTAGGTTGCTGTAACAATGCCTCTGAGGGTGTTGAGAATCTCTTTCATTTAGTCAGCTAGATACAAATACAGATCTATATACAGATAATCACTTTGTTTTATTTGTACAACTTTTGTCAAAAAAACAAAACATGGTGTACTGCTAATCACAGTTATCTATAGCCATACAGTGCACTGCAATACAGTATGTATGTGTCATGGAGTGGGATCAAGTCACCATGATCAACCACCTTTTCAAAATGTAAGATAGATAGATAGATAGATAGATAGATAGATAGATAGATAGATAGATAGATAGATAGATCAGAATTAAACAACTTACAGAGTTCCTCTACCCAGGAGGATCTGTGGAGATCCCATACAGTACTGAGGTACCCTAAACTCAAAAGTAATATACATACATAGAGACATTTTTAAACTGTTCAACAAACAAATGTGTTATACAATGCTTTCTCTGTTGTAGTAAATTACAATCATTTCCTTGATGCTTCTTTCTCAATACAAGCCCAGTGTAGTATTTAAATTCAAGGTGATTTATTGAAAGTTGCAGTGTCAATTAGCAATTCTTTTTTAGCCTGCTACTCATAAAAATAATACATATTCTAGGTTTGGTGCCCTACCTTTGATTTTCCTACAGCAATATGTATCTGCAAAATTTGACTCTTAAGTATAATGTATGTTTCGTTTCCATGGGACCAAGAAACAAATTTTCTGCTATGGTTCTTGGCCAAAACATAGCTTAAAACATTAAGAAAAGCATAATCCCCCCAAAAGTGTATTTTTAATCAAAATACAAGTATAACATCAATTTTTAAAACAAATATCCCCACTCCCATGATAGGGATATAAAAGGTAGGCTATAATACAATATATCTATACATTTCTAAACGAATGTCCAGATATAATTTTATTAAAGAGCCATATCAGCTTGGCTGGAGTCACTGTCTGGAGTCAATATGTTGCAAATACACCATCATTGTAATTTTCTAGTCATTGTTTTGCAATTTTATCTTTGTATCTTGAAAAATAGTATATTTTTTATGAGACTCATTTTCCTCTTCCTACTGGTATAGAATTCAAGAGGTACAGCACACTTTTTGTGGGTCCCCACTCATCTAGGATAAACATAAAGTGAAGTGATCTGGAGACTTTATAGCAGTGTTTTCAGGCTTTCCTTCTCTTACTGGGAGGCCAGGACCACATTAGATGAACCATTCATGCCTCGACCAGAATGAAATCCGGAAGCCAGAAAATGATTTCAGAGACTAAGGGGCTATATTGAAGTGAATGACCTCCAAGGTGGTATTCTCAGAAATAATGCCACTCCAGAGAGGCAACAGGAGCTCAGAGAACTTAACAAGTGGCCGAGGAATTGGTACAGGAAAGAGGTGTTCAGGTTCCTGGAGAACTTTTCAGTCAGTTACTGGCTTTATAGTAGGGATGGACTGCATTTAAGGAGGAGGGTGTAGCTCTGTTGGGGGTGAGGATTGACAAAAAGTTGGAGGGGTTTTTAAACTAGGTGGTGGGTGGAAGGGATCAGATGAAGCAATAGCCAGCAGTGAGCAAAGGTGAGAGGGTGGGAATGGAGGCATTAGTGGTAGTATAACCATAATACCTAAACCCTTGGTAAGTGGGATGGCAAACAAATTACAGCCACAGAACAACTTGCAAGAAAATATTATGTGCCCTTACAAAACTAAGAGACATGTACACATGTACATGTACACAAATATCAGGAGCTTAGCTAACGAAATAGAAGAACTGGAGCTGCTGGTGCATGAGGAGGATTTTAAATTTGTGGGAATATCAGAAACTTGGTTTGAAAGCTCACATGACTGGCTAGCAACTATCCATGGGTTGTCCTTCTATTGGTGGAACAGGGAGGGTGGAAGAGGAGGAGGGGTTTGCCTGTACATCAAGAATGATTTGCTAGTGAACACAAGGGATGACATTGCAAATGCAAGAGGAGAGGTGGAGGTGGAGTCCCTTTGCGTAGAACTCCAAATAGAAGAAACAAGTGTAAAAATAATAGTGGGGGTATGCTATAGGTCCCCTAACCTTAATGATGAGGAGGAGTTGGATCTCCTATTACAGTTAGAAATGGCAGTGGGACAGGGCAATGTTATCATAATGGAGGACTTTAACTATCCACATATTGATTGGGTGAGGGGAACAGCTCACTCATTTCAAGCTCATAATTTCTTAAATGTCTTACGGGACAACTTCATGTGCCAATTGTTGGATGCCGCAAATAAAAATAATGCATTACTAGATCTAATAATTATAAATAACATAGATCTGGTCACAAATGTGGAAATATGGGACACCTTGGGAACCAGCAATCTACATTCAGCATAAATCATAGAAGGAGGCACAAGGGTGGTACAAGAACACTAAATTTCAAAAGAGCTAACTTTTCTAAACTATGCTCAACACTACAAGATATTAAATGGGGCCAAATCTTAAAAACATTGAATGCTGAGGAAAAATGGGAATACTTTAAAGGAACATGGGAACATATTAAATAAAGATATTATCCAGTGCATTCCAATGGGTAATAAATATAAAAGAGCGAAGGTTAAATCTGGGTGGCTAAACCTTAAAGTAAAAAGACATATTAAAGAGAAAAAATGGCCCTTAAAAAATATAAGATAGAAGAACATTGTAGGCATTCCAACACTACAAGAAATGCAGTAGAAGTGTAAGAGCACAATCAGGACAGCTAAAATAGATTACGAGAGGCACATATCGGAGGAGAGTAAAAAAATCCCATTTTGTTTTTAATATATTACCAGTAAAAAGTTAGAACATATTGGCCCCATAAAAGATGATGAAGGGAAGTTGGTTACAAATGACAAGGAGAAGGCAACTGTACTAAATTCATTCTTCTCCTCAGGTTTTACAAAGGAAAAGGAGGGGTATAGTTGTCAGGATTGCATCATTAGTAATGCATCACAAAATGTACCTTTTTGGCTAACAGAAGCCAGCGTCAGAAAAAGACTAAAAAAATTAACATAATAAATCACCAGGACCCAGTGGCTTACACCCAAGAGTCCTCAAATAACTCAGTCAGGTGATAGACCACTATTCTTAATTTTTATGGACAGTATATTGACAGTTATTGTACCAGCTGATTGGTGAATGGCAAATGTGGTTCCAATATTTAAAAAATGGCAGAGACATTGTATATTCCTGAAAACTACAGATCAGTCAGTCTAACATCGATAGTATGTAAACTATTGGGGAGGATGATAAGGGATTATATCTAAGAATTTGTTGATGAAAACATAAACATTAGTAGTAATCAAAATAGATTTATGAAAGGTCATTCTTGCCAAACCAATCTGTTAACATTCTATGAGGAAGTGAGCTGCTATCTAGATTAATATGAATGCAAGTTACTTGCACGTGGGAGAACCTCTGGGGGAATGCAGGATAGAAAAATATCTGGAGGTCCTAGTAGATGATAGACTCAGCACTGGCATGCAATGCCAAGCTGCAGCAAGCAAAACCAGCAGAATATTAGCATGCATAAAAAAATGGAATTTACTCAAGAGATAAAACAATAATCCTGCCAATTTATAAAACTCTGGTTCAGCCTGATCTGGAGTATGCCACCAGTCCTCAGCAAAAATGTGCTTGAGCTGGAGAGAGTCCAGAAAGAATCCAGAGAATGGCAACAAAACTAATAAGGGGACTGGAGGCTCCAAGTTACAAGGAACAATTACAGACATTAAACTTATTCTCCCTGGAGAAGAGGCGCTTGAGAGGAAATATGATAGCAATATACAAATATCCAAATGGTGATTCTAGCATAAAGAATAAACTATTCAGGCTCAGGGAGTATAAGAAGACATAAGGCGCTCAAAGAAATTGGAGGAAAAGCGGTTAAATCTTGAATTACATAGGGGATTTTTACACTGTCAGGGCAGTAAGGATGTGGAACTTACTTCGACAATTGGTGGTGTCAGTGGGAAGTATACATAGTTTAAAAAACTCTTGGATGGGCTTCTTCACAGCATACAGGGATATCATTTTTTTAATATGAACACACAGCCAGGGAAGCATTTAAGTGAGCAGATCTCTGCTCAGTTATATGCTTTTGGAGGTCAAAAAACAATAAATGAAAATTCCCAGCTCACTTACCAGCCAGCCTGCAACAAACCGAGTTGACCCTGTCTAACAGTTCATGTTAAAACTGGGGGGTTTAGTTTGCATACATTTGCAAATATATGTACTGTATAAGCTGCAACAGCAACATCACAGTATCCCAGTGTACTGCAGTCCTAACTCTATAATTTTCAGAGTCTCCTGAGTTGGAGCACATATAATAGTGGATAGATTAGGGCAGGTATGCCTGGAGAGAGCCTACCCTTCCTTAAAGGTATAGGGATGCACTGGATACCCAGCAATAGCACAATGGCAGCGAAGATATCCAGTGTGCCCCCTCACCAACTTAGGCTGGCAAGT